AGGAAGGAAGGAAGGAAGGAAGGAAGGAAGGAAGGAAGGAAGGAAGGAAGGAAGGAAAAGAAAAGGAATAAGATCAGCCCAGATCTTCTCTTTCTAATAGCAACATATGAAAAGTGAATGCACTACCTTTTAGGATTACACAAGTCTAAAGGTGCCGTATGAGAACTGAAAGCATGTAAATCTTTTTTTAGTTTAGAGGGTTTAAGAACATGATGGCTCACACCTTTAATCCATCACTTGGTAGGCAGAAGCAGCTGGATCCCTGAGTTCAAGGCCAGCCTGGTCTACAAAATTCCAGGAGAAACAGACACAGAGAAAACCCGCAATTGATATTGTCTAGTGTACTGCTGAATACATCATCTAGCTATGGCTTCAGGTCACAGATTCTCTTCTCGTACCTCTTGGATTTCATCTGGGACAGTTGAATCCATCAGCCTGAAGAGCAGATTTCGAAGTGGACCTGCCTGTCTCCCAAGAATACTGGTAGCTACTCCTCCCGCAAGGGCCAGAGCAAGATGATTTGAAAGCAACTTCAGGCACAGCTTAAGAAAATTATGGTGCTCCCTGAAACAAAACAAGCTGGTGTAAATTTCTGAAACATAAAAGTAAACATAATATACAGTTTAAGGAACATTTTTATCTCTTTAAAAACTGACCAATGATAAATCTTAAAACATCATTTATGAAATTATATATAACCTTTAAAACCCACGAAGTTATTAAGTTTAGTTCTTTTCTAGCCTACAAAGAAGATTCATGTAATTTGGAGAAAAACAAAAAAGAATAAATAAGTTTGAAAAGCGTAATTAATACATATGAATGCATAAGTATCTACAACATACCTTGATGAAGGGAAAGGCAGTGGGGGAATCTCACTGTTTATTTTATCACAGTATCTCTCAAGAAAAGATCGCAGGTGTGAGAAGGTACTCTCTTCGAGATCTACACAATAAGGCCTGTGCCATGCAACAACTTGTCTAGAAGGAAGCATAAGAAAAGCATCCAGTAGCCTTACAATGAAACTTCTACACATAATCAAAAACAAAAAAGAAGACCTAGTGGGGAAGACAAAACATTTGTTTTTCATTTTGTTTTGTTATTCTTGAGTAATTTGTTTTGTTTTACAAAGAAATCCAACCAAACAAAGGGTAATGAAGTTAAACAAATGTTTGAAATCAATAAAGCCTAGTTCTGAGTTTAGTTCATTTCCTCTTGATATGGAGACATTAAACTGTGTATGTGATATTATACATATATTCATGTGTATGTGTGTGCATGTTGGGGTGTGGATCTACATGTGTGTAGAGAGCAGGAGTTGATGACCACTGTCTTCCTCGGTTGCTCTCTACCTTATTTTTGGAGACAAGGTCTTTCACTGAACCTAGAGCTCATTAATTTGGCAAAACAAACCAAACAGTGAACTCCAGAGATACGTCGATGCCCCCTACCGCAACCTCAACACAAGATTAAAGACATGTACTGTATGTAGCCTCTGGCTTTAACATGGGACAAGAGATCTGAACTCAGGTCCTCTACTAGCCAGACAAACAATTTAATGACTCAGCCATCTCCTCAGCTTGGTGCTTAACTTTTAAATCATTCTCTAAAGATAGAGAATTAAGACTATTAAGAAAAGTATATTAAATACAGCCTCTTCATTTTGAAATATATATAACCTCAATATACATGAAAACAGATCTAAATGTTATTTCTATAACAGATTTCTAGTCAATGCTAGAAATTATATACAACTTAAATAGCATCTATATTAATTAATCTTAAAAACCACATTAAATTTTATTCTCAATTTAGTAACACTACTGTTATACTCTTGTAGGGCTGCATATGAACTGTTCTGCCCAAAGACTCGTGTGTTAAAGGCTTAGTCTAAGCTAGTAAATACAACATTAGAATGAGGTGAGCTGTTCTGCTATATCATAATGTTCTGACTGACTTCAAACCAAGGCAATGGGAGCAGAAGATGATGGACTGATACATGTAAACCAAAGTAATCATTTCCCCTTTTCAGGTATTTATATAATTTGTTATAATAGGCAAAGATATTAACATAATTACCTATATGAAAAATAATATTTTTGATACAATTCTAAATTACTTTAAGTTAACTTGAGTATGTATACATGAAAGCTTTGTCTGTGAAGACCCACTGTTTACTTTTCACATGTGTAATTTTACAAAAGAAAGAACTCTTAAGATAAAAACAATATCCACTCCCCATAACCTTGACACAGACATGGTATGTTATCATGAACAGCAGTAGAGTAGTACGTACCTTATTCTTACTGTAGAGATCTGTATGTATTATTCTGTTAAACATGAGACCAATATACTTACTACCAAAATCTGTACTATTTAGAAATTAATTTTAATATACTATCATTATGACTAGTATTAAATTTAATTATTTAACATCTGAAGTACATTGTATAATACTGACTCGATTTAGACCTAAATAATGGATTTTAAAAAAAAATACAAGCATGTTTAAGTATATAGCACTTACCTGTCCCTAGGGAGAGCAGTCCATGCCAAACTATGTGATGTTCCAGCTGAGATCTGTTGAATAGCTATGCCATCTAAGCCACTCACTTTCTTTGGTTTAGTAATAGGACCTGTTGAATTTCCCTGCCCACATTGTCCCATGGAGTTATTGCCCCAGGCATAAACTTCATTATCTAAAAATAAGACATAAAGTATAAAAATTAAATTTAAATGCAATACATTTATGAAAAAGAATAATTAATATTTTTTTTAAAAACTAATGATGTAGAACACTTATAATCCCTGCACTAAGGAGGCTAAGACAGGAGGATTTAAAGTTTGTGCTTAGGCTATAAAGATGATACTTAAAATACTAAAACAAACAAATAAACATGACTTTACCATGAGAAAGAGACAAACAATGACTATCTCCAATAGAAATATCAACTATTCTCGTGGCAGCCAATTCTTCAATGAGCTTGGGTCTCAAAGCAGTAGCTTCTGAAGAACCACAACCCAGACAAGCCCCACAGCCCCAAGCATAAACCTGAAAAGACAGAAATACAAAACTCATAAATTCCTCAAATAAGTAGACTATTAATAAAATTATCAAGTTGTGGTACATTTCTGATATTAAAATAATATTTAGTGTTTTAATCACTTTAAAGATGGTCATTGTACCCTCAGGAAACTGACCAACAAAACAGCTGAAAAGAAACACACCAGCCCTTAGCTGCCTCATTATCCCCGCCCATCCTCTCCAATTAATACACAGACATAAAAAATAGAAATATTAAACCATTAGCACACCCAAGAAAATTAATAGTAATTACTTCTTAGCAAATTATCTGCACTTTGCTTATTTCATTTTTAAAAAATGTTAGTCAGGCTATGGTTGTCCACACCTTTAATCCCAGCACACAGAAGGCAGAGGAAAGCAGTTCTCTGTAAATTCAAGGCCAGTCTGGTCTACAGAGTTCCAAACCATGTCTGGAGCATTCCCCCAAGCTCCCCACAAAAAGAAAGGTCACTGTCATTTATTGTACTGTTTTTAAACACCCAGTGTATAAACAGATGAGCAGCTGGAATGAAAATCAACTGGTCACAGGGAAAATGAAAGAAAGACAGGAGAGCTTCTGCTGAAGTCATCACTAACTGGCTTGTACTTGGCAAAAACTGTCCAGTCTAAGCATTATGGAAATACTACCTTAAAACTTCTAGTTACTGAAAGATGGTGGTGCCATAGGCCTTTAATCCCAGCACTCGAGAGGAAGAGGCAGGCAGATCTCCGAGTCTGAGGACAGCCTGGTCTACAGAGTGAGTTCTAGAACTGCCATGGCCACACAGAGAAACCCTGTCTCAAAAGAAACAAAATAAAAGACAACAACACTTCCATTTATGTGTTTCTTACATGGTGGACGAGGGTAAGAAATGATCATTTAAAACACATAACATGAATCATAAAACTGATCTTAATTATCACATACAAAGAATATGTGAATCAGAAGTCAAGATAGCGCTCCTGAACATCTTTACTTGTTACTAGTGACAAAATGACTAGTGGCTGACTTAGCTGTCCAGGACGAGATGCATGAAGAAAAGAAGAAGATGAAAGGAGGAATGTCTGACAATAAGGCAGTCCAACTGAACAATCAGCAAGCCAAACAACTTCCTCTTTCCATTGGTTTTGACAAAACTATATTCGCTCTCTTCTTTATGCCATAAGGCTTTTTTATGATTGTTATTTTTGTTTTATCTTCAAATAATCTTAGGTAAGACTAGCAAGATCAGGTTAGATGTCTTCTTCAAAAGAGAAGATCATATATTTATACTAGTTATCAGAAAATGAACTTAAGTACAGAATGTAAGAGAACTCCAGCATAGCAAAGGCCTATTCAAAGATTAGGAACTAAACACAGGGAAGAAGATATTACTAAGACTCTAAATGACTGTGGTGGTCTGACTAAGGTATAGGCCCCATAGACTCATGTGTTTAAATGCTTGCTTGGCCCATGGGGAATGGCACTATTAGGAAGTGTGGCCTTGTTAGAGTAGGTGTGGTCTTGTTGAAGGAAGTGTGTCACTGTGAGGGCGGGGTTGAAGGTCTCCTAAGTTCAAGTTCCACCCAATGTGGAACACAGTCTCCTGCTGCCTTTGGACCAAGATGTAGAACTTTCAGCTTCTTCTCTAGCACCATGTCTGCCTGGAGCTACCATGCTTCTCACCATGATCATAATGGACTAAACCTCTGAAACTCTTAAGTCAGCCCCAATTAAATGTTTTCCTTTACAAGAGTTCCCTTGGTCTTCACAGCAGTGGAAACCCAAATTAAGACAGACTCAAAGTCCAATACAGTACTCACTCAGTACAGTATTCAGTAAGGCCCTCTGAGTTTTCTTTCAAATATTCTTTTAGCTGAGCACTAGATTAAGAACATTTGTAGCTCAGTAGGTACAGAATTTGCTTAGCATGCAAAAATCCCAGATTTGATCCCTAGAATTATAACACACACACAACACACACACACGTCTTGCATTTTGGCATTATATCATGCCATATAAAAATACATTACCTTCATTTAAACTTAAGAGTTACATTTAGTGGAAAATAAGCACTGAATAGGCTGAAGGAACTGAGACAAACATTGAAAAGCTCCACAGGTATAATAGCAAACAGAATGGCTTATCAAAGTATTTCTTCCACTTTATTTCTGTAAACATACACACTGGACTTCACATAACCTAATATGACCATGATACACAATTTCCTTTGGAATATAACAGATTTACTGGTTACTATGTACCAACAGTTAAACATAAAAGCTTTACATTCAAATAACTATCTTATACAACCATCTGGTACACAAAGTAGAAATTATTTCCTCTCTCATAAAATGGAAGCATATGACCCTGTAGGGAGGTCTGAGACTTGCTTGTGGATATAAATCAAGTGAGCACTTGCTGACTTCAATCCGTGGATCCTTACTAAAAACCTACGAGGAGGAACACATGAAAGACCATGCATTTATACCAGAGTACTGAAATATGCAACGGACTCCACAATGCAATAAAATGAATAGTTCCTATTAGATTTTTCAGCATATGGAGTACTCGAGTCTTTCAAAAAATAAATGTGAATTTCAGCTCTGCTGATCGTCTATGTTAGCCTAGCATACAACAAATTCCTACATTCAAGGGCAAAGTGGCTGATAAACTCGAGGAAAAAAACCATTATCACTACTCTTCACTGTGCCTGGTCCTCTGTGGTACCACCATCTCTCCAACACCATCCAAAGACGTTCTCTTATCCTTTCTGAACATCTTACTTTTTTAGTTCCTATCACTGTACCCTCAAGTTTTGTTTTGTGTTCCCTACTATTCTTTAACAGGAAGGAGCCTATGAGGATTCTTGATGATTTGGGTGAGAGGGTTAGAGGGTTCTAAGCACTAAATGAATTTGTTTTATCAACTTACTTCAAAGAGCAGGGTTCTAAAAGAAAATGTATCCAGATCACGCAAGGAGATAACAAACACACGTCTTGCATTTTGGCATTACATCATGTCATATAAAAACACATTACCTTCATTTAGTTACATTTAGTCTATTATATTTGAAACAAAATTAAGTATTTTCATCTCATTATGTTGTCTTAAAATCTTTTTCTTAGCTGGGCAGTGGTAGCACACAGCTTTTAACACAGCCCCTAGGAGGCACAGGCAGGAAGATCTCTGAGTTCCAGACCAGCCTGGTCTATATAGACTGAGTTCCCTAACAGTCAAGGCTAAAAAGTTTTGTTTTTACCTAGTCCATGGAAATACTCTTATGTATGTTTGTTCCTTAATCTTACCTGCCCTGTTGATGTCAAAGCAAGTGAAGACTGGCTCCCAGCACAGACTTTGCGAATAAACATTCCTTGTAAAGCTTCAATAACTTTAGGTTTATAGACTCTGTTGGTGTCACCATGGCCAAGCTTGCCTACACACAAAGAAAACATTGTTCAAATTAAACAACTTAAACCCATTCTTCTTTATTAAGCACTGAATTTAACGAAGTACTTTAATTTTATAGCAATGACTTGACAGCCTTAAAAATCTGTAAGTTCCTGATAGCAGAAGACATTAACAAATAAACATCTGTTCCAAGAAAGTTAACAATCAATAACAGCCTTTTGTGTCTTATTCTCATTCAAAAATCTGTTTTAAAAAGACACAAAATAATTTTTTCTTTGTCCCCTTTAAGCCATTTGTAACTTTTTCCTTTTTTAGAATTAAAAAAACTTTTTAAAGATGTGTGTGTGTGTGTGTGTGTGTGTGTGTGTACATGTGAATTTCCAGAGAGTCCAGATGAGGGTGTGGGATCTGTGACAAGTAGCTGTGAGTTGCTTGGTGTGTGTGCTAGGAACCAAACTCCAATCCACTAACAGAGCAGCAAATGCTCTAGTCCACTGAGCCGTCTCACCAGAGCCTGCAAATATTTCCACCTTTAAATGGTTTGACGGGCTAACCTGAACCATAACACAGGGTTATAATTCTACTGCTCAAAAAGCAGAGTCAGAAGAAGAGCTGCAAGTCTAATGTTACACAGCTAGACCCTGTCCTGTAAGGAATGGAGGGAGGTAAGGAGGGAGGGAGGGAGGGAGGGAGCCAGCCAAGCCAGGAGTAGTGGAACATGGCTTAAATCCCAGCATTTGGGAAGCAGAGGCAGGCGGATCTCTGTGAGTTTGAGGCCAGGCTGGTCTACACAAAGAATCCCTGTCTATGGATGGATGGATGGATGGATGGATGGATGGATGGATGGATGGATGGATAGACAGACAGACGAACAGACAGAAAGAAATGCAAAAGTTTGAGGGCAGCATGGTCTACATAGAAAGGAATACATAGTAAGACTTTGATTCAAAAAAGAAAAAAGTGCTGACAGTTCACATAATTTTTTAAAGAAAGATTCAATAGTTCATAAAACAGAAAATGTAGAAAATACTGAATAAGAGAGAAAATGGCTATCATATTAATGAAAACCCACCAGAAATCAATAAAATGTAAATTAAATAACTTTCATTACATAAATTAATTTTTAAGTTATCATTTTTTGTTTGGCTTAGTTTTTCTTTTTTAAGACAAGTCCCTGATACCCTGTAACTTTCAAACCCTCTTGCCTCAGCCTTGGGAATCTAGGAATAGCAAGAGAGCACTACACACCTGGCTAAAATTATCTTATTTTAATACCTAGTATTGCTGATCTCTGTGTACACTACTGACAGAGTAACAATTAAAGTGGGCAAAGATCTGCACACTCATGAGGTGGTTTCTTTTGTTCTGTCTATCTTACTGACAGCCTTACTGTATTCCCACATGGTTGGAGCAGGGAGAAAAAAAAGACATTGAGGAAAAAAAAAACTACTAGGGGACATCTTGTTACTCAACAATGAGAAACTTATTTTATAGATTGTCCTACAGATAAATATAATAGCACTCTGGACCTTTTTAAAACTTAGTATAGTAACATGTTTGCTGATATCCATAAAATATTGCTATATTACAGTAAACAAATTATAAAAATAATACAAATGAGCTATACAAGCCTACTTTGGCTTTTACAAAAGACATGCATAAATGCACATATATTTAGCAATCTGTCTACCAATGTGTTAACAATGGTTAAAGAACTATTATAACGCCGGGCAGTGGTGGCGCGTGCCTTTAATCCCAGCACTTGGGAGGCAGAGGCAGGTGGATTTCTGAGTTCGAGGCCAGCCTGGTCTACAGGGTGAGTTCCAGGACAGCCAAGGCTATACAGAGAAACCCTGTCTCGAAAAACCAAAAAAAAAGACCTATTATAACAATGAAAGAAACAATTAGTTGTTTTTATGTCTGTTCATCTACATTTGAGTTTTTGTATAGTAGGTACATATACTTGAAAAGGACTTTTTTCTTTGTTCAATTTTTAAGAAAAAGAGCCCAAAGCTACCAATAGATTTTTCTTTCTTTCTTTTTTTTTTTAATACATACCATTGTCTCCTCCTCCAAAAGACCACACAGTTCTTCCATCTTTGGACAAAGCAATCGTGTGTGAACTTCCACAGGAAACCTCTCCTACATTGCTAATGTCTTTTACTAAGGTTGGAATGTTACGGCTATTACTGTCACCATGACCTTAGATAAAAGACAGAAATAATGTTAACTCCTTTTCTCTAGGTCATAATTTCACAAAAGTAATATGCTACCAGTTATTTTTAAATGCAATTAAGTACAAAAAAGTAAATCATCTGTACCTGCTCTACCAGTCTCCTAGACTGCTCCCAACCTGGGGCTACAGGCACGCTGATGACTTACAACACTCTAGGTTTCTACCACAGCACTTAATGTGTCTAAAAACCCATCCATGTCAACCTGTCTTCACTGACTAGTAAATTCAAGTTCACAATGTTATGTTTCTTATCTCTGAACCTCTACAGAGCCTGGTTATGATTCTTGGTTACATCTTAGATAATGCATCAAAATCTAGACAAAATTATCTATAGAAATACATCTTACTTTGAGTTTAAAACTAATTAGAATAAATGGTCTATAAACTTTATGCTTACTGGTTCTTAGAAACAGATCATTTCTGCTCTGTGGGAATAATTCCAAATTTTAAAAACTCTTACCTAGTCTTCCAAAGTCTCCTTCACCCCATGTATATAGTTCACCATCCTCTGTGACAGCAGCACTATGTCTGTATCCAGCTGATACACAAACAACTACCTGAAATGCACATAAGTCAATCTGATAAGCATACCAATGCTAAAACACACATACACAGGGACTTCAGAGGCATTATTACTCACAACTCCCATAGACGTTGTCAAGAGGACCAAGGGTACTGACTAAGGAATCACTTAAGTCCATGTCATTGTCAAGAGGACCAAGGGTACCAAGGGTACTGACTAAGCAATCACTTAAGTCCATGTTCTGCTTCTTGAGCTCTAAACCCTGGCTTTGACCCAAAGAAAAGAACAAGTTTTCTCAATCCAAAAAGAGACATTGTAATTTCTAGCAAAGACATCAGTCTGATCACTAGCAGGAATGGTACAGCATCAATCATGTCTTTACTAAAGGAGTTGGAGAAAGTACAAGGAACAGTAGCAACTTTTTAAATCTAAGATTAACATAAAAACCTCTCGGTTTTACTGACCAAGTAAAGCTTATTACCTAGTAAGTAACTCAAAACTACTGGCTATTACTAATATAATTGTAATATAAACTCACACTAGACTTCTCAGAGGCTTTTCATCATCATGAAATTATCTTTGATTAGTACAGTGGTTCTCAACCTTCCTAACGCTATGACCCTTTAATACAGTTTTTCATGTTGTGGTGACCCCCAACCACAAAACTACTTTCACTGCTATTTCATAACTAATTTTGCTACTGTTATGAATCATAATGTATATGCGTGTTTTTCTAATGGTCTTAGGCAAGTCCTGTGAAAGCATCATGACACCCCAACAAAGGGGTTGCTACCCATGTTGAGAACCACTGCATTAGTAGAATCAAAGCAGTAAGGACATATTACAACATACCTTAGGAACCACTTATACCTTCTAATACTTATCAATATTTACACTACACTGTTATAGAAAGGGGATGCTGAAAAGAATATAAGGAAAACAATGGAATTAAGAAATATTAAAAGAACCAGAAAATCACAATTATTAAGACTATTTAGCAGAAGTACCTCAGAGTTCCATATGTAATATCTTTTCAGTTCTTGAGGCATGGCCTGCCTCACTATGGTCACTGCCCTCAAACTAGCAATCCTACCTCGCCTTTATCTGGAATTATAGACGTGTGCTACCACACCCAACACTCTCTGGATCTTATCAAATGTTTGTTGCTGTTTATGAAGTGGAATGTTACAAAACCCATTGCTTTAGGTCTTATAACTTGATGAGTAGCTTAAACTACTACAAGTCATGGCTATGTGGAATTTATTTGATAGCCATTTGGAAAAATGTCTCATGGTAGAAAAATTATTATTATATGTATTCTGTTATAAAATTTTAAATCTTAAAACACAGAAATTTGCATAAGTCTTACTTCTGTAAAGAAAAGTCAGACAAACATAAAAACAAGTTCTGTTTCTAATGCCACCAATTATTTAAATAAGACTCTTGACAATCACCTAACCACTCTAAATTCCTCATCATTCAAGGACTAGAGAGATGGCTCATAAAGTGTCTGTATGCAAACATGAGAACCAAGGTTCAGTCACCAGAACTTCATGTAAAAAGACAGAAGTGGCAGCACATGTCCGTAATCTCACAGCTAGAACTGCAGAGACAAGACGATCCTGAGGCTCAAAGGGCAGTGAAACCTTGTCCTGGCCTCAAACTAAGAAATACACCTGCCTCTGCCTCCCAAGTTCTGGGATTAAAGGCAAGCACTACTTCACCCAAAAAAATAATAAAAATAGATTTTTTAACATTTTAATTATGGGGAGGGGCATATGCGTGTGCACACAGGTGCCTATGGAGGCCAGAGCCACTGAGCCCCCTTGAGTTAGTGTTATAGGGTAGCTGTGAGCCACCTGATGTCGGTGCTGGGAACAAAACATGGGTCTTCTAAAGAGCAGTATGCATGTTTAGTACTGTGCCATCTCTCCATCCCCCCCAAAAAAATTAATTTTAAAAAGTGAAATACTGTCCTAGAAGTTGTCCTACACAAGGTTGACCTCACATGTCCCCCCACACACATGTAAAAAACTGAAGTTGAAATGGAAAGAACTAAAGTTGAACGATGCATGTACAAGTAGACCATAATCTATAAAATACACACAGAGAGGAAAGACGAAGAGTGGTAGGCAAGAGGTAATTCAGAAAGAATACATCAAAACCTGACAGCTACTGCCTGTGACTACACCACGGTTTTTAGCTTTAAACCCAAAGCACATACCTTTCCCTGCAGTGGGCCCTGGATAAGCTTGGGGTATTTCTGGGTTGAACTGTTCCCATGTCCCAGTTTCCCATAGTCGCCATCTCCCCAGCTGAAGACTTCACCTTCTGTAGTGAAAGCTAAAGTGTGGCCATCAGAGCCTTTAGATGACGAAACTTTCTTAATGGACCGATGAGGCTCAAAAGTTAACTTTTTTAAGGTAGACTGATTATTGGAATCTCCGAGGCCCAGTCTCCCATAGCTGCCTTTACCACAAGCTCTGACAGAGCCATCTGTAGAAATGACAAAAGTGCAATACTGTCCAGCTTCAATCTATAAAAGAACACCAGAATCTTAAGTTAGAAAATGCTTTGAGAAAGTCAGAAAATAAAACTTCAGGTCAGGTTCACCAAAAAGGCAGAAAGGAAATCATTAAAGAGCAGAAAATGACATGATCCTCCATAGAGAGCACTAAGCAGAAAACATCAATGGTATTTTCATAGTAACCCCATGCTGACTGTAAATTCATGTATCCTTTAAGGTTATCTACCAGAGCATGACAAAAATGAAACTATGGGGCTGGAGAGATGGCTTAGGGGTTAAGAACCCTGGCTATTCTTCCAGAGGTCCTGGGTTTGATTCCCAACACCCACATGGTGGCTCACAACCATCTTTAACTTCAGGCTCCAGGGAATCCAACATCCTCTATTGGCTTCCACAGGCACTGTACTTACATTATACACAGACACTTGTATATGCAGGTAAAATAGCCATACACATAAAATTAAATAAATAAAATCTCAAAAAAAATCTAAAAACTAAAATAAATATCCTTCTCATAATTGGAGAAGGAAAAACATTTCTATAAATTCCTTAGGTCCATTAAACCAAGAATTGTTCAGATAAAACAATATTTACACATATTTCACACTCGTGAGGAAAAAAATACAATTTAATAAAAATAAAATATAAAGCTTTACCTTGGACTACAAATATAAAAAGAAAAAAAAAGGAAAAAAAAAACTTGATCATAAGAAAATGAAATGCCATTCTGAAAAAGGGAAAAGTCTATTTTAGTAAGTATTACTTGTGTGGAATACAAAAATAAAACCAGCTACCATTCATTAGGCTTTTTACATTTTTATTTATATAGTTTCAGTTTTCGGTATTTTGTCACAGGGTCTCCTTTGCAGTGTGGGTGGCCCTCTGCCTCTGGAGGAGCGACAGTCAAGACGTATACCATTATACGCTGCTTCATCAGGCTTTCTAAAAATCTAGGTCCCAATTTAATATTTTTAATATAGAAATAGCGTCAAAGATATGACAGATCAAAAATGTGTTTTCTGTTAAAATGAAGAACTGATGTGATATAAAAATATCATAGATAAGAAACGCTCAGCTGGGCACACCTTTAATCCCAGCACTCGGGAGGCAGAGGCAGGCGGATTTCTGAGTTCGAGAGTTTGAGGCTAGCCTGGTCTACAGAGTGAGTTCCAGGACAGCCAGGGCTACACAGAGAAACCCTGTCTCGAAAAACAAACAAACCAAAAACCAAAAACAAAACAAAACCACAAAAACAAACAAACATTAAAAAAAAGAACTGCTCAATCAAGAATTTTTGCTCATTGAAAAATATACTCAACATAACTTAAGGCACAAGAGTACACACACACACACACACACACACACACACACACACACACACACACACACATCATTATCTACCAGTTCACAAAGAATACAGAAAACTTACGGTCTGAGCATCTGAGAAACTAGGAGCCAGTTTGGGTTGTAGTATTTTCTCCTGTGTGCCTTCTACCAACTGATGGCTGCTGTTGCTGCCCCACACATACACCTCACAGGTCTCAGACACAATGGGGGTATCACCAGTCTGAATGCTATCTGGGCTAGCACATGTTCTTGAGTAGTCAGAAGCCATTCTACAAACCTATTAAAAATTTAAACACGCACAAAAAATAACCAATACATTTAGTTTAGTTTTACATATTCTCTGAAATTACTGTCTTAACTTCTAATTCTCTTAGCTAAATACAGACAGCTAAAATATTTATTAGCAGAGAGTAAATAACTAAGATGGAAAGAAGAACATACATAATCAAGCCTCTTTAAATAAAATGTTTTCACATACAAACGTCACAGAAAATCAAAGTTCATAAAGACAAAGTAGGAAGGAAATATCACTAATAATCTTGTCACCTTTACATAATAAATGTTACCTTTTTCATATGTGCATTCTTTTAACAGTCATTAAGAATTGAGAAATGACACAGTAAATAAGAACTGACAAATGACACAAGACAATAATGCAAATTTTTCTGCTTAGTCTTCATGCTTAAATAGACAATATTCCATGTAATGTTAAAATCACAATTAACTACTTTTTTTCTAATGAATATTTAAATCCTATGTCTTTGTTATATAGACCATTTACTGACTTGGGAGTCAGAAGTAGGTGGTCTGCATAATGAGTTCCAGGACAGCCAGGGCTACACATTGAGAGCTTGTCTCAAAAATATATACATATGTCACTATATTTTGTCCCAAAGCATAGGAACCAAGGTGACCCTCTGACTGCTTGAACCAAGGAATGTGTCTATATCAAAGTACCAGTCTCATTGCAAACACACTAACACTGGATATTAAGGTTTAAAGTATTTTACAAATTGATGTTGCAGGAAAGAGGAAGGCCATTTTAACGTCACATCTTCTATCAGTAGAGCTAAACTTAATCACTGTATTTGCTTTCCATATTTTTTGATATCAACTAAGTTTTGCCCAACTGTTTTTTATGAATGCACATAAACTCAATACAATCAACATATTAAAACTATGACTGTAATTACTATCAATTTGTTGTTTAAAGGTTTTTTAAAATAAATAAGCCAGAAAAATCTTAAAGAACTAATATGTTTTTGTCGGCATACTAAATGGAAAAAGATAGATAGTTTTATTCAGAACCTTTAACAATAATGCAAAGTAATAGAGTAAGCCTGTCTGACAAGGCTTTTCTAGTGAACGTGAGGACACATAAATGCCTGTCAAAGAATCTGGAGTTTCACTGATGACAAAAGGAGGACGGCGGTAGCGAGAGTGAAATTAATCATTTATAGACCTAGTACTGTAACAAGGTCCTGCCTTACTCTCTTCTCAAAAAAGAAAAAAAAAGAGGAAAAAGAAAAGATACTAATGAGATTTAAAAGCACACTTTTAAAGTAAAAGTAAAGCTAAGCAGGATTTTGTAAAAATCAGATGACAGACCAGCAGCAACATGATTCTCTAAACACTCCAAAGCTGCAGAGAAAGACTCAAGCACCTATTTAACATTCATAACAAACTATGTGTAGCTCCAAGAACCACTAAGTAGGTGATCACAGTGCACCACCAAATACACACACAGCATTACCATCTGTACAGCAGACAGCAATGAAGGGCCTGGCAGACAGCAGAACAAGAGAAGCCTACAACAACCAATTAGGTACTCATTAATCTAAGAAAACTAGTTACACCTTGAAAGAGTTCTGTCTTTTCCCACAACAAACAAGACCAGGGCTCCAGGACAATGAATAAGTTTTAAATGTCATAGGTTGTCTAGCTCCTGTAATTTAAAACAAAACAAAACAAAACAAACAAACAAACAAACAAAAACCTTAACTAGCCAGGATTCCCTCCCAGGAAGGAGCCCAATGCAGAGGATAAACTACTAGAGTAGATTCAAAAGTACATGGGATAGGAACATCGCCTTTAATCCCAGCACTTGGGAGGCAGAGGCAGGCGGATTTCTGAGTTCGAGGCCAGCCTGGTCTACAGAGTGAGTTCCAGGACAGGGCTACACAGAGAAACCCTGTCTCAAAAAACAAACAAAAACAAAACAAAAAACAAAAAGGATGGGGAAACACCATTGTTTCAAATATCTAAATCTAAAGGAAAAAAAAAAAACCATACAACATGAACCTTGAAACCCAACAATTCATTCCAAAGTTCAGAAAAACTAATTTCACAGAAAAGTTAATAAGAAAGTACTGATGAACTTGAATACTTGATCGTAATGATGCCTGACTAACTCCAATGCTCAAGAGGCAGGAGGATAGTGAGGCTAAAGTCTGCCTGAGCGACAGACCATGAAAAAAATAAGAAAAAAGAAAAGAAACGGTGAGAAGAGTGGGAGAAGAGAGAGGAGAGAACATAGGGAGGAGAAGGGGAGACAGGAAGAAATGGAGGGGGGAGTGGGAAGGGAACAAAGGTGGAATAAAGGTAGAAAGAAAGAATACCATATCTATAATAAACATGACAGAAAAATACACCCTCCCCTAGTAAACTGTAATCTCCTTAAAGCCAAAAAAGGTTAAGAAAACCAAACAATATGTGAAAGAAAGCACAAATCTGAATTAGAAATGGAGCTAACATATCACACCTCTCCAGTCAAGGCTTGGGTTTTCTCACTGTAGAAGAGGCAGGAAAAATCTAAGGACCAGAGATGCTGGATAACTTCAATTCCGGGCAGTTACACATATGAACTCACAGGGATTATGACAGCATGCACAAGACCTGACGAACACAAGCCAGACAACAATTCCAGCATGGAGGGGGACAGGTAGGCATAAAATTCCACTTCTAGCTGAGGAACTAGTGACATTTGTTGACTGCTAGGAGAGGGAGTCAGGTTTTTTTAATGGTGTCAGGTATTAAATAAGTCAATCAAACTTCAAAGGAAGCCCCACTTCCAACAGTAGGTGGGCAATACAATCTGGACTTTGTAGACTAAAATAAAGAGAAAACTCAAAAATGGGTGGATCAGGGAAGTGAGGGTGAAAAGGGTAGATCTAAGAGGAGTTGGAAAGGAGGGAAATATCAAAATACACTGTATGATACTCTTAAAGAATTAATTAAAATGTTTTTAAATTTTTAAAGGAATAAAGTAGAAATTTTAAACATGAAATGTTTAAATGAAGACCAAAGTAGAAGAAATACAAGAGTAAATAAAAATAGTGTGGGGCTAGAGGAATGCTTAGTAGTTAAGAGTACTTTCTGATCTTGGAGAGGACTGAAGTTTGGTTCCCAGTACCCACGCTGGACCGCCTATAACCACAGCTCCAGGGGATCGGATACCCTCCTCTGGCCTCTACAGACACATATGACACATGTTCACACAACAAATACATACATAAATAAATAAAAATAAGTTTTTTTAAATGAACAAACAATGCCCTATGAGTAACAAAAATAAAGACATAGTAGAAATGAAAAATAACTAAAAATATTTTTAATTTCAATAAAAGATAGCAATGCAAAAAACTAACATACAAATAAGAGTTCCTCCCCAAAAAAGAACCAAATACATTGAACAGTGGTGGTACATGCCTTTGATCTCAGCACTTGGGAGGCAGAGGCAGGCAGATCTCTCTGAGTTCTAGGCCAGTCTGGTCTATAGAGCTAGTTTTAGGACAGCCAAAATACAAAGAAACCCTGTCTCAAAAAAAAAAAAAAAAAAAAAAAAACCCAAATAGGAAGGAAGGGAGGGAGGGAAGGAAAAAGAGATGGAGGGAAGGAGGGAGAGAGGGAATAAAGATGGTATGAAAATCTGTAATTTAGGAGTATTTTTCTGAAGTAAAAAAAGACATCTGAAACCACATGTTGAATTCTCACATATCTAAGATTATTGTCCCAGAAAAAAACTGACACCACAATGTACTCTAGTAAAATTACTGATGTTTAAAGGGAAAAACACTTTCTTTCAATTGCTTCTCATCAAAATGACCATGTGACTTGTACCTTAGAAAGTGATCTTCAGACGTTGGCAATGTTTATGTCAAAAGACATAGTAGCAGATTTAAGGCTCACAAGAAAAGATAATGTGAACCAATGATTCAATCAAAAGCAGTTTTAAAGAATGAAAAGCACAGTAGTCATCAGCATGCAAGAACTCAAGGAGAATCTTCTTATTCCTCTGTGCTGCCATTGAGAATCTAGACAATAGGCTTCAAAGCCAAAAAGAATAAAGGCTTGTGAAACAAACAGTAAATGAGAGTCAAAGGGCAGAGATTTAGTAATTGCTCAACTGCAAAAATGGCTTAAATTTAAAAAAAAAATGGTTTTTAGTAACCACATAGCAGCTGTTGTCTTATTTTAAACTTGCTATGTGTGTGCTCACACAAGTGTGTGACATGTATAACATGGTTACAACAAAAAAGGATATTCTACTTCCGTGATCCTCCCTATAGTCTTGAGAATCAGCAGACTCCGCTTGAAGGAAAACAGACATAAATGTAATGTAGAGGAGGTTAGGTAAGCCGTCGGTAGCTCAGAAGGCATTTTGACTTTAAATCTATGTGTCAGTCACCATCTCCCACGCCTACATATGCACCCATTCACTCTTCTCAGCTAATATGTCCACTACAAAATGCCTAGAAAGATCCAATTAGTAGTGAGTAAACATCTCTAACACCCTGATTGTGGCTGTGAAAATCAACTTTCTCAATTAAAAAAAAAAACAGCAAATTTGGGAGGAGATAGCTAGTTAATTGTCAAGTGCAAGAAGTATATGAACATAAGCCAGAAACAACAAATTAAGACAGCAAGAAAGCTACCAAAGATTAGTAGCCTGATGTCAGAAGAATCCAGGAACAACCCTAAAGAGACTACCACCGTGAGACTACTACCCAAAATGAAGCAGTATGGCATATAAGAACTTCACAGACTGAAACTCAAAAAAGTTCAAACCTAAATTTTTAAATGAAGTTAACTGGTCAAATTTGGAGGATGATTAAAGTAGTAATTCATTCAACTAAAAACTAGTCAATGAACAGTAAATGAGGAGTCTGGCATGGTGGCACACGCCTTTAATCCCAGTGCTTGGAGGTAGAAGCAGGGGGATCTCTGAATTCCAGCCATCCTGTTCTGCAAAGTGAGCTCCAGGGCATCCAGAGCTGTTACACAGAGAAACTCTGCCTAAAAACCCCCTCCACTCCCAAAAAAGTGAATAGGAAGAATCAAGCAGTTATTCCATCTTTCCTATATAATCTAATAGAGTAATCAGTTGAATTCTCTAAAAATCATTCCAACTAATAAATGGAGAAAAAAATTAAAAGATTTAGAGTATCATATAACTACCAACAACCCAAAGGAAGGAATATGAACACATAGATTAAGAGATTTTTGTTAGATGTTGGAGCATATGCCCAGGAGTGGTATAGCTGAATCCTCAGGTCCAATTTTCTGAGGAACCATAAAACTGATTTCCAGAGTGGTCACCAGCTTGCAATCCCAACAACAATGGAGGAGTGTTCCTTTTTCCAGCCTCACCAGGTGGAATCTCAGGGTCGTTTTGATTCGCATTTCCCTGATAACTCAGGATGTTGAACATGCTTCTCAGCCATTTGAGATTCCTTGATTGAGAGTTCTCTGTTTAGTTCTGTGCCCCATTTTTTAATTGGGTTATTTGGTTCTCTGGAGTCTCCACTATGTTCACAGCAGCCTTATTTATAATAGCCAGAAGCAAGAACAGCCCAGATGTCCCTCAACAGAGGAATGGATACAGGAAATGTGGTACATTTACACAATGGAGTACGACTTAAGCTATTAAAAACAATGATTTCATGAAATTTGCAGGCAAATGGATGGAACAAGAAAATATCATCCAGAGTGAGGTAACCCAGTCACAAAAGAACACACATGGTATATATTCACTGATAACTGGATATTAGAAAAAAATACAGAATACCACAGACCATATGAAACACAAGAAGAAGAAAGACCAAAGTGTGGATGCTTCAGTCCTACTGAAAATAATCATGGAAAGTAGAGGGAGGGAGAGAGGGGGAAGGAAAAGGTGAACAAGATCAGGTGTGGGAAGAGACGGGAAAGAAATACAGTGGGGTCAGGAATTTGAACGGATGTGTGAAGCAGTGGGTGAAGGGGGAACTGTGGGAAGCCACTAGAAAGACCCAAGAGGGATGGCATTAGCCGAAATATCCAACAAAGGGGAGAGAGAATCTCCAGTGCCAATATCCAGTGAATAGGCATGGCCTCCAGTTGAGGAAGGGGCCACTCACCCATCTCAAAAATGTTAATCCAGAATTGCTCCTGTCAAAAGGAAATGCAAGGAGAAAGAGTGGAGCAGAGACTGAAGGAAAGGCCATCCCCCACCTAGGGATCCAACCCACCTGCAGACACCAAACCCCAACACTATAGCTGATGCAAAGTAAACACTTGCTGATAAGAGCCTGGTATAGCTGTTCCCTGCGAAGCTGTGCCAGAGCCTGACCAATACAGATGTGGATGCACACAGCCAACCATTGGACTGAGCGTGGAGAACACAATGAAGGAGTTAGAGGAAGGACTGAAGGAGCTGAAGGGATTTGCAACTCCATAGGAAGAACAACAATATCAACCAACCAGACCCCCCAGAGCTCCCAGAGACTAAACCACCAACCAAAGAGAATACATGGAGGGACCCAGGGCTCCAGCTGCACATGTAGCAGAGGATGGCCTTATCTGGTATCAATGGGAGGGGAGTCCTTTGGTCCTGTAAAGGCTCGATGCCCAAATGTTGGGGAATGCTAGGGTGCTGGGCATGGGTGGGTGGGTGGGTGGGTGAGGGAGTACCCTCACAGAAGCCGAGGGGATGACAGAGGGGATAGGGAGTTTGGGGAGAGGAAACTGGGAAAGGGGATAACATTTAAAATGTAAATAAATAAAGTAACCAATTTTTAAAAAGGGAGAGATTTTAAAAACATTTTTTTAAGTGGGGGAAAAAATTGAACTAGAGTCCTAGCACACGCATGTGGGTAACACAACTAAAAATGTCAAGGAAATTAGTTTAAAAGTCAAGACAGTGGTTCTGGTGTAGAGGAGAGAAAAGGTAATGACCAGAATGTAAAAGGCCTTCTACAGTGAATGGCAAATTCTATTTACTTTTCTCACACACACACGAGAGCGTATTTGAGAAAGTCTGTTCTTTCTGTCTACAATGTGGTACCGGGCAATTATAATCAAGTTGTCAGGTTTGATAGCAATCTTTTTTTTTTTAATGCCTAGGTAATGACTAGAAAGGTGTTTATTTTACAACAATTTGTTAAGGTATACAATTATTTATACATCTTTCTAAATCTGTTTTATTTAATAACTTTTTTCAACAAAAGTTAGCAATACATAATCCAAAAGTTAAAATAACTGAAAGGAGATACACTGAAAGTATCTCTTTCCAACCCCTGGCAACTAAGCACTGAGTTCCAACCTCCAGAGGCAACTACTAGTACCGTTTGCTTTTAGAGCCTTTCTAGGGATAAATATATGCTGTAACATTTTACAACAAAGTCACTTTTAATGCAAAGCTATGAAGATTACATACCTCTTCAAAGAGACACAGTGCTGCCTCATAGAGTGAACATAAGCCTTCAGATGTTCTAGTTGGTTCTCTCCACTGACTCCGATCAGCAGATGAACCCTGTAATTAAATATTGTGGGGTACAATATGGAAAGGAAACAGACATACAAGTTAAAAAAAATCTACTTTAAAAACTGTTTATAAGATTAGTTGTACTACCAAATCCTATATGATCAATTAAGCACCAATCTCTTTATAACTGCTTTAATAAACAGTGAGAAAGCCATACTAAATAAAATACAGGATTCTTCTTCGGGGCAAACACAGAATCTTGAATGCAGCAGTCTACTTTTCAGTGTATCTGTGACTCACTAAGAAGGGTATATGATAGGGCACATGGCCTTGAATGGAGGAAGTGTGATTTCTGACTAGGTACACCTGGTATTTGTCCAAGAATGACAAGACAAGTAGACAGAAACTAGAAAGCCAGCAATAAAGTTATTCTGTTACATATTACAGCTACTATAAGATACTCACTTGTGGAAAAAGCTAATCAATTTAACAGAAGCAAGTAAACTGTATATAATATAATCAGAAAAGTATGGATTTCAAAGGTAAACTCAAGGTTATAAGAATTACTTCACACAGTATGTGACCCAGTATGTGTCACAGTATGTGACAGTATGAGTCTGTGTTATGATACTCAATAGATGTATAAATCCAGTCTAACACAGTTGCTTTACACTTTTAAGATCAAGGTAAATAATACCTTACCTCACAAATTATGAAATTACCTCACATGATAATCGAAAAAATATGCAAAGCACCTGATAGAAAACAGGCACTACAATTAGTTTACTTTCTCACTCCAAATAGTGAGGAGGAGCAGTGAATCAAAGAAGTTGAAAGGCAGCGAGTATTATTAAATAAAGAATAAAACACATTATATACAAAGTCATATATATATATATATATATATATGAATGATTTCTTGAGCCTATAGAGTCAACTTAAATATCAAGTCAATTTGTGACTATATAAGCAAGCTTATGCTAGAAGATGCTAAAATGCTGTCAGATACAAGGGGGTGTAGAGTGCTTGCCCAGCACATTAGATTCTGGGGTAATCCTAAACACAGGGTGTGGGGGTGGAGGGATGAGGCAGTAAAAGGCAGCAGTGTTATTAGATTATACATCCTCTAGCTGCTTCTCTCTTCCCTACAACACCGAGCTCTCCTGCAGCCTCTTTCCAGGAGCCTGGTAGTTCTATGCCTCCCATTTGCAGCTTTAAGCGAGATTAATCCCCCCTACACATACACACACACCTAAATATGCAAGAAAACATCATGGCCCCACACAGTATCTGACTCCTTTGGCTTACAGACTAAGCCAGACTAAATCATGTGGTGTAGAACCTCTCCCTAGCCTACTAGAAATTTACAAGTTAGAAACCCATGTTATGAAATCTTAAGGGATTCTCATATTCATACTCTCTCTCCTCCCTCTCTCTCTCCCCTCCCCCCAGCTTCCTTTCTGAACCTGCTGTTTCTGACATGCATTTCTTTGTAACAAATAGATATTGTGGAAATCAGTCAAGCCCTGGGGTACTCCTTTCCTTCTAAGGGAAAGATGAAGTCTCTTACTAATTTTGTTCTAGAAGGAAATACCCATGGTAAACATATAATCATATACTCATGGTATCTAATATCTTTTTCCTCTCTTTGGTGACAAAAGCAATACAAAATGAATAGCTAATAAGAGAAACTAAGTGACTTTTTACAGGAATATTAACTTGAGTAGATATACAGCATTTCAAATTTGAAAGGAGCAAAATCTGAAAGTATGAAAGAAGCAAAAAACATGAGAAAAAAAAAGATGTTCAAGTAACATTACTTTTTTTTGTAACATTACTTTTTAAATAAAAATTTTTAAAAAGAAAATTAGCAAGGCAGTTGTGGCACACACCTTTAATCTAAGCACTCAGGAGGCAGAGGTAGGAGGATCTCTATGAGATCAAGACCAGCCTGATCTACAGAGCTAGTTTCAGGATAGCTAGGGCTACATGGAGAAACAGGCATACATACATACATACATACATACATACATACATACACATACACACACACACACACACACACACACACACGTGGGGGTTGGGGAGGGAGAGAGGGAAGGAAGGAAGGAAGGAAGGAAGGAAGGAAGGAAGGAAGGAAGGAAGGATATAAAGAAGAGAAAGTTAATGATAAAGTGACCAAATATTTACAGTTCAGTTCACAAATACAAAACATATACCAGATAAAAAGTTAAATGCTTCTGCCTTGAAACTGTTTTTTAACGAAATATTTTTATTAATCAAAAGCACTGCATTTCACTTGGTGATAGAGGGAAGGTTTGAAATATGTAAATATAACAAGTGGCATTTTTGTGATTTTAACATACATTTATTTGTTAGGTTATATTGGGCAATAAAAAGTACATGAACTCACTTTCTTCCCTTCTCTCTCCCTCTCTTACACACACACGCACACACACACACACACAAACCTGGAAGGACATGTTGGCACATACCTTTATTCTCAGAGGCAGAGGCAAGTGGATCTCTGTGAATTGAAAGCTAGCCTGGCCAATACAGGGAGTTCCAGGAAAGCCAGGAATATACAGTGAGACCATTTCTCTCAAACTCACTCTGTCTCTCTCTGTCTCTCTCTGTCTCTCTCTGTCTCTCTCTGTCTCTCTCTCTCTCTCTCTCACACACACACACACACACATACACACACACACAGAGCAAAAACAAACAACAAAAACCTGATCAATTTAACTTAACTGAACTTATACCTAAGTCAGTTTATAAGTATTTGAGCCTTAATACTTTAAAATTCAAAGTTTTATTCTTGGATTTCAAAGTTATTACAGTTCAGTCTTGCAAATTCTTAAACTTTATCATATATATGTTCATTCTTTAATATAATATCAAGGTCATGACGGTAAAGGGATTCACGTCTACTGACAAGCTCCATAGACTTCTGCTTAACTCACTACTTCTGTTTATTCAGGTCTCTGTTCAAATGTCACAACTCAGAGTCCCAACCTGACCATATTAACTAAAGCAGCATACCTCTTAACTCTCAAACTATCATCCTCTTCTTTCCTCTTAAAATGTCTCACCTGAAATTATGATTTATGATTTATTTCTATGTGTACAGGTATTTTGCCTACGTGTATATCTGTGCACCATGTGCATACAGTGACCATAGAGACCAGAAGAGGGTGTTGGATCTCATGGAACTGAAGTTACAGATGGCTGTAAGCCATCATGTGGGTGCTGGGACCTGAACCTGGGTCTTCTCCAAGGCCAACAAGCTCTTAACTGCTAAGCCATTTCTCTAGTCCCCTAAATTTATGAATTTCTTTCCTGATCATCCTAGCAAGATGTAAACTTTGTAAGAGCAGAAACTGTATCTCTAGGACTGCATCCTCAGGTCCTAAAATAATACTTGAAACACAGTACATCATTTCTGAAAACTAGAAAAAGGCCTGCTATGGTGGTGCACACTTGTAACTGCAGCACTTGGGAGGTAGAAGCAGAAGGGTCAGGAATTTAAGGCCAGTCACAGCTACATAGCAAGTTTGAGGGCAGACTGAAAAAACAAAACAATACAACAACAACAAACGGCAAGGATGAACTTAAGGATGCTTTAAAAAGCCTGCCATATTCACTCACTAGCCAAGGCCTCTCATTTTACACATGAATTTACAAAGAAGTTAGGTCAATTCTCCAAATCCAATAAAATAAACTAACACTTAAACTATAAACTCAGCTTGTGATCTAGGGGCCTTCACTGTAATAACTGTCCTATCCTTATGGATCAATATGTATATGTTTCTCCCCACAGAGCACAAAAAGTATTTAACCAACTTAACATACCAAAAGAACTCCCCATTGACTAGCTAGCAATTTTTCAAAGGTGACGCTTGGGGTACATGGTACATACCAAAGAACGCCTCATCTGCATTAATATAGCCATAAAGCAGTCAAAGCTGATCATTCCTTCCTGGCTTGATAGTAGTTTGTTTTTCTCCATAGTGTATACAACTGCTGAAGCCCCCAAAGCCATTTCTATCCATTCAAGAAGATATCTCAAAGAGCCTCTCTGAGCTGCTAAGCCAAGCAGCAACTCAGAAGCTAATCGGCGACCTAAAGTGTCTGCCCCAGAATTGGGAATAGTTACTCCTTTAAGAAATGTTGTAACTTGTGATAAGCAGTCCAAGCCCATAGGAGGAATCTTGCTTTCGTTTGCTAAAGACAATGGCGGCAAAGAGCTCACAACTTCAATTGCAGTATGAATAACGTCATTGCAGAGACTGAGACCAGGTCCCGACACAGGCATCATCCAACTCTGTCTCAGAAGTGCAAATAATAAGCTTAGACCAGTTCGGACACCCATTTCTATAAGTGCATCAGTGCTTGACCGGGGACGTTCACTGACAGAATGGACATCTGCTGAACCAGAGCTGCTCTCCGGAGAATGCTGCTGCTGCTTCACTTTGCCTTTGTCATGGTACTTATTAGAAAGTGCATAAAAGACACGCTGGAGTACAAGCAGTCGTTTCCGTAGTGCCCCAGCAAACGGGGAATCTGAACATACCATCTTTGCTAGTGCTAGCTGACTGCTAAGAAGGGCGTCCAAATAATGGTCCTGCTCATCACTTGAAAGAGACTCACGTTCAAAGTCAGGCAACTGTGGTCCTTTGAGGCATAAAACCTGCTGAGGTAAAGGTACTACCTCCTTATTGCTGACCAGTTTAGAATACAAAACGGTAACTCCCTCTCTTGTAGCAATAGATTCGCTGTCCTCTGTGATCCAGGAGCTATTCAGGTGTTCGAGCCACTTCAGTTTCACTGGTGGAACCATGGTCGCCATGTTGATTTATTCTTCAGCCATTAGTTCTACAAGAGAAAGAGAAGGAGACAGTGGGAAAACTAGAACAGATGACTCCTAAAATGTTTCTGAGCTTCCGTCTAATACTACATTCAGTGATTTCAAAACTAGTAAAATGTAAATGAGGCCTAAGGTTTAGCTCATGGTATATGCTCATGGTTATATTTTAGCTTTAACAGATGTACCATGGTTATATAAGACATTAATTAAATACGACAGAAATGGATAAAGGTCTATGGAACTAAAACTTGCAAAAATTTTAAAAAGTAAGATAAGAAAATGGTATTTCATTCTTTCATTTTAAAACAGCGTGAGGGGTATGTTCAATGGGAGAGTAGTTATCTACTGTAATGTGGGAGCCCCATGTTTGATCCCAAGTCTGGAAGAAAAAAAGAGTGTACCAACAACAAAATCTGACACTTGTTAAATGGTGATTAAAAAAAAAAAGACACACAAGAAGAATTTTCTAATGTTCTATACCTCTCATCATCCTTCAATTTGTTTCAGGAAATGAAAAGCAATCTGAAAAGGTGAGTGCAAACTGCTGGGTGTAGTAGAGGATCCTTTAACCCCAGCACTTAGGAAGTGGATCTGCCTGGGGCTTTGGGCACAGTCTGGTCTACACAGCAAGTTCAAACCAGCCAGGGCTACAAGTGAGACTCCGTCTCAAAAGAAAAGGAAAGGAAAGGAAAGGAAAGGAAAGGAAAGGAAAGGAAAGGAAAGGAAAGGAAAGGAAAGGAAAGGAAAGGAAAGGAAAGGAAAGGAAAGGAAAGAAAAGGAAAGGAAAAAGAAAGAAAGAAAAGGTAAAAGAATTTTAATGTATCTCCAAGTTCAGAAACCAGTACTATTTCGTTATCCCATATCCTTCCCTGGGAACAATGAATTCTAAATGCAGTCTTTATGAGGAAGGATAGTGTTAGAGCCTATCAAAATATAAATGCTCCACTCCACCAAAGCACTTCTTTGAGAAGTGTACCAGCTCCTGCCTGATTCCTCTCCCTAGACCTCTTTGAGCCGATGATACCTCCTTACTGCCTAGTGTAGCTTGCATATTAAACTCCTAGACCACAAGTTCTCCTCCTCTCCAACTCAATCTCCAACTCAGAACAAACACAAACCAGAGTTTACATGCTTAAAGCCTCAATCCGCTGATCTAAGGTTCAACAACTTCTTAAAACCAGAAATCAAAGATCCCCCACTTGTCTTCTTCCCTGTCTCATTTACTCTTTTCATATCTGAAAGTTTTTAGTAATGGTCATTTCAAAAAGACCTTGAGAAAACTCCTTCTAAAATCTTAACTTAATAAAAATCCTTTCTATTCTTACCTCAATTTTTACTTCAAAAACTATAGGCCCTTTCAGAATTAGTGTGTTCTAATTTTCTAACAAAATGCCTCAAAATATACTTTAAACTATAATTATGGAGGATTTTTAAATCACCTAATAGGTAACACAGACCTCAACATCAAAACCACGTTTCACTCCATTTTAACTCCCTAGCATGCAACCTAAACCATCACCACAATGTTTGCTAAATTACTAATTAATTGCAATTACTTTCCTCAATTAAATCATTTGGGTAACCAAAAAGGTACATGATAGGATTATTACTATCCTAACATTTAGTGGTTAGGTACTAGTTCTTACTTCATTAAAACTATAAATAAAACGTTTTGCCACCTGACTTTGGGAGGGAGGTCCAATTCCAAATGCAAAGTCAAGAAAGGGGTCACAAATAGCTGGGCATAGTGACACGGACCTGTAATCCCAGCACTCCAGAGACAGAAGCAGGAGAACCATGTTTGATGCCACCTTGGACTATATACGACCTTCCAGACCAGTCTAAACTAGA